CCCAGTCTTTTGCTTTAAACCTATTTAATTTCATCTGCCATCATAACCAATCACTCCTGAGTTGATTACATTGTGAGAGGAAGCTTTATACAGTGCATTCGGAAAGTATTCAGATCCCTTCACTTTTTCCACATTTTGTTACGTTACAGCCTTATTCTAAATAATTTTTCCCCTCATCAATCTACACACAATACCCCATAATGACAAAGTGACAGGTGCATCCTGTTTCCATTGATCATCCTTGAGATGTTTCTACAACTTGATTGGAGTCCACCTGTGGTAAATTCAATTGATTGGACATGATTTGGAAAGGCACACACCTGCCACACAGTTGACAGTGCATGTCAGAGCAAAAACCAAGCCATGCGGTCGAAGGAATTGTCCTTAGATCTCCGAGACAGGATTGTGTCGAGGCACAGATCTGGGGAAGGGTACCAAAAAATGTCTGCAGCATTGAAGGTCCCCAAGAACACAGTGGCTTCCATCATTCTTAAATGGAAGAAGTTTAGAACCACCAAGACTCTTCCTAGAGCTGGCCGCCCGGCCAAACTGAGCAATCAGGGGAGAAGGGCCTTGGTCAGGGAGGTGACCAAGAAACTGATGGTCACTCTGACAGAGCTCCAGAGTTCCTCTGTGGAGATGGGAGAACCTTGCAGAAGGACAACCATCTCTGCAGCACTCCACCAATCTGGCCTTTATGGTAAAGTGGCCAGATGGAAGACACTCCTCAGTAAAAGGCACATGACAGCCCGCTTGGAGTTTGCCAAAAGGCACCTAAAGGACTCTCAGACCATGAGAAACAAGATCCTCTGGTCTGATGAAACCAAGATTGAACCCTTTGGCCTGAATGCCAAGTGTCACATCTGGAGGAAACCTGGCACCATCCCTACGGTGACGCATGGTGGTGGCAGCATCATGCTGTGGGGATGTTTTTCAGCAGCAGTGACTGGGAGACTAGTCAGGTTTGAGGGAAAGATGAATGGAGCAATGTACAGAGAGATCCTCAGACTGGGGTGAAGGTTCACCTTCCAACAGGACAACGATGCTAAGCACACAGCCAAGACGACGCAGGAGTGGCTTCGGGACAAGTCTCTGAATGTCCTTGAGTGGCCCAGCCAGAGCCCGGACTTGAACCCAATCTAACATCTCTGGAGAGACCTGAAAATAACTGTGCAGTGCTGCTCCCCATCCAACCTGACAGAGCTTGAGAGGATCTGCAGAGAAGAATGTGAGAAACTCCCCAAATACAGATGTGCCAAGCTTGTAGCGTCATACCCAAGAAGAATTGAGGCTGTAATTGCTGCCAAAGGTGCTTCAACAAAGTACTGAGGAAAAGGCCTGAATACTTACGTAAATGTTTTATTTTTAATACATTTGCAAACATTTCTAAAAACATGTTTTTTCATGATGGGGTATTGTGTGTAGATTGATGAGGGGAAAAAACAATTTAATCCATTTTAGAATAAGGGTGTAACGTAACAAAATGTGGAAAAGGTCAAGGGGTCTGAATACTTTCCGAATGCACTGTATATTAGTGGCGGCAGGTATCCTCGAGGTTAGAGCGCTGGGCCAGTAACCAAAAGATTGCTGGTTCGAATACCGGAGCCAAAATTGACTAAACTCTGTTGCTGTGCCCTTGAGCAAGGTGGTTAACCCTAATTGCTCCAGGCGCGGGTGTCCCAGGGGGAGTTGTGTGTAACAGGACAAATCTAAGCACCCCCCAAATGATTATATATGTACAGTTAACCTAGAGAGCTAGACAGGGAATACTAGCAGTCATGTAACACGCGTCACGCTACTTGCTTAACTGTATAGCGTCCTTACCGGTACTTGCTCTCAGATCCTCTGTCTCACAAACACACGCGACCACCCTCTTGACAATGTCTTAGCCAGCTGCACCATCGAAAAGCTAGCAATTCTTTGGCTTGGGAGGAGACATTTCAAGCTTTGTTACAGTCACACAGTAGAATGTACTCTGTTCATTTCCCTGGAAGGAAAGAATGATTCATGTTTATATTATCAACTCAGTCCTCTACCACAACCCTTGATCCTCTTGGTTAGTTGTGTGCTAGTGTTGGAATAGATGAAATATGTGAAATGACTGGTGGTCCCAGGGACTGGGTTGAGAAACATTTGTAAGACCACTATGAACACTGGGTACTAAAGACAGAGATAGTTTGGGGTGTTGATGAATGTAAAACCATCTCCTTATCACTCAGATCATCTAGGGTTGCAAAATTCTGGTACCTTAACAAACATTCCCAGGTGTTCCAGAAATCCAGATAATCTAATAGGATATGTGAGATCAGAATTTTAGAATCTGATACCGTATCTCTGATATAGTCGATCTAAGAAACCTTACTGAAGGAGGAACAAGGATAAGCCGAGCTGAAAGGTGCTTTATTGTATGTACACACAACACAACCCCCTGATTAATACCATATAGGCTTTCTGAGGATCAAAGGAACCACAGATTACAGATGCTCCCTGGCAACCATTTTTAATCTGACTGACTGTGGTGGGATTATATTGTATGGCCATTATATCCCCCGGCCACCCGGAAGCCTTTATGGTTTAGTCAGGCCACGTACATAAAGAGATCAGGATGCATTAAAGAGGAGTCTTATTGAGGGCACGTACAGAAAGAGAGAGAGGAGCCAGGTCCTAGAGTGGTTCAGTGAACTTCTTCCAGGACTCCCGGGAAAAAAAACAGTGGCAACTATCCTGGCTAAGTAAAAAAAAAAAAAAAAAGTTTGCAGTAAATCCACTTACCGTAAACCTTGCTATTAACACAATAGGTTATGTCTTCTACTCTCTCTCTCCTACACGGACATCAGAGGACCTAAGGAAAAATCCTGACTGCCTGTCGTCACTTCGCCCACCTTCCTTCTTTCTAATTAAAACGCTAAACACCTTGCTTCTGTCCAATGAAAATGCAGAACACCTTTCTTCTGTCCAATGAAAATGCTGTAGCTGTGTCAACCAGAAAGTAACCTACTTGCAGGAGTAGTAACCTTTCCTTAGAGTTTCCTTTCCCTCAGAAGGTCAAGCCATTTTTACATTAGCAGTCACAAAGTGCTTTACAGTAACCCGGTCCAGACCCCAAAGAGCAAGCAAAGCAGAATCGAAAGCACAGTGGCCAGGAAAAACTCCCTAGAAGGAAGAAGCCTAGAGAGGAACTCGGCTCAGAGGGTTGGTCTTTGATGAGCCATCAGTATGTTGCGGCCCTGGCAGTGTCTGAAGTGCACCTCGTAGCCTCCTAGAAAGGCCAACAGGTCCACCATGTGTCTCAACACATCACCACCCAGGGGGACAAAGTAGCCATCATCAAGGTAGCATGTGACCAATTTTTGGTTTGCGATGTGCAAGTGACGTCGTCCTACGTCATACTTCCGGGTCCTGTCCCCTAATCTTTTGAATGGCTTGACGATTATATCATCAAATTCATGTTTGTGGAGGAATCTACTTCTGCCAGATGCCTTTTATGAAATTTTTGCCCATTGAAGACCATTCAAAAAGCCTACAAAAGGGTATTTCCTGTAAAACAACGCATCACTTTCATACCATATCTCTGCACCCAAAACTACTAATTTTAAGGCAAAAGACAATATGACTGTGGATATAAGAAATACACTTCTCACATCAGCTGAGCAGAGCTGATGATGTACTTTTCACTCAGTTTGTTGTATGAAATTACTAGAACAACATACTGTAGCTCCAGGCATTCAGCAGAGCAAAGCAGAAACCAGTTCAACATCCCTCCATCTGTCTATCCCTGTGTACAGCTGCAGTGGTAGGAAGTCAACATCTGGAACAGGACAGCTAAAGCCCCATAGCGGGGTCACTGCCTTTCCTCTCCTCTGCCTCCCTCTCTAACTAGCTGTCTATCTGTACTGGAAGGCTTTATCTTCAAGCCTTTGATTAATGGATGGATGTGTTGCTGTCTCAGCTCTGTCTCTCTGTGGTGTAAATCTCACTTATGCACTGATCTGATGCACACATTGATCACACTCTCTGACTGACTGGGTGATGGTTAGAGAGGCGATGTAGGGAGGGGGATAGAGAAAGTGAGAGGAGAAAATATCAACCAGGAGGTGTCTCCTAATAGTCCAAGGCGGATGGAGGACATATGCAGAATGTGAGAATAATTTTAATTAGGGCTTGAGCCATGGGGGGAACCTTGCGTTGTGCGCCCCAAATGGCACCATATTCCCTTTATAGTGCACTCATTTTTACCAGGGCCCCATGCACTGTAAAGGGAATAGGGTGCTATTTGGGACACACTGGAGAGTATCATGAGGTCACAATGACAGGGGCGAGTCAAATGATCGATGAGGTAACACTATGCATAATAGTAATATCTATTTTATAATCACAACAGGTTTATAACCATAGCGATCATATAATTCACTTCTGTGCCTTTAGCTTATTCTCCTGACTGGGTGGACTGGAGGCAGAGCAGTTGTGTGGTAGTATCAGGGCAGGGTTTATCCTTCTCTGCTCCCTGCCTGCTCTGTGCTCCACTCTCAGCCTTTAACTGTAACAGATAGATAGCAGAGCCAGCTAGCAGGATCCCCCTCCGCTTCCCCCCTGTGGATGGTTTACTGCCTTTAATTCTGCCGGCTGGCACACACATAGCCATGTACGTAGACACGTGGACACACACACATAGACTCACCAACACACACACACACCATGTAAATACATACTCACCAATGCACATACTGGCTGACCACGTACTAATGCACGTGGATGTGCACACGCTCGCACATGCATGCACACACAGCGGCACTCTGTCCGAGGGCAGCAGATTATAGTTGAATGGAGTGAGTGACTATTTGCAGTTTAGTCTAGCTGCGCTCATTTCAGTCCATGTTTATTTGCCTACTACAATTCTGTAATGCCTTTTGTAAGGAGAGGGCATATTATATATTTTTTTATAATACGTATTTGGATTGACCACTTCAATCATATGTTTGTTGCTTGGCTTTTCTCATCAGGAGGTGCGCAGGCAGACCGCTGCACCCTGACCTTTTTAAAGGAGCAGTCTGGGATTGGGACACATCCTGCTGGAACATGGATATCCTGGATGTTGTAAGACAATGCTTTCAGATCACAGATCAGATCAAAATATTGACCATTAGATTTGAAATATTTTCATCAAATCATCATATCGACCATTAGATATTGTCCTTGATGTTATTATTTCAGCAATGAAATCATACCCATACACAAAAATGTATGCACGCATGACAGTAAGTTGCTTTGGATAAAAGCGTCTGCTAAATGGCATATTATATTATTATGTATCATATTATTCTTGATGATCTGATACATCAGATAATATTCACTATTAGATAATGTTTTTGTTATCCAGATTTGTTTTTCATCCCATTACACTAACTTTACGTGATCATACCAGACTTCATTTGGCATATAGAGATTAATGGCTTTTTATCTTAGATTGTGTGTTGGAGGTTGATGCACGATTTTTGTTATTGAGATAGAGTTTACATCATTTTAACCTCAGTGTGTAATGTATGTTGTGTTACACAGTAGTGATGTGTGTACTCGTGCGTGCATGCATTTGTGTGTGTGTATATGCATGTGTTTGTGCGTCCACGCGTACACGTGTGTGTTTAACGTTAGTATCCTGTGTGTTGTGATGACAGTAGTGAGCAGTGATGAGTGACAGGGAGGCGGCTCAGGCCTATGTCCTTCTGTCATCACAGGGCCACCAGACAGCCCTCCACCGAGCAGCCATGGTGGGGAACAGTGATATCATAGATGGGCTCATCAAGGGAGGCTGCGCTCTAGACCTGCAGGACAAGGTGAGGGAGAGAAATGTCACTTGATCCGTCCCGAATGGCACCCTATTCCCTATATAGGTCCCCATGGGCCCTGGTCAAAAGTATTGCACTATAATGGGAATAGGTTACCATATGGGACACACCCTCTGAATGTCACATGAAATGTTGTGGAATCTGAAGCAACGTTACTGAAATGTCACAGAATCTTCAAGTCTAAAGACAAAGTCACATTTCCTTTATTTAATGTAGAGGGCCAAAAATGCAAGCATTCACAACACAGGGAGGAATGTAATGTACCTGAACAGTATTAGCAATCTAGATGAGGTCCGGTCTGGGCATATGAATGAAATTACATTATTAGAAAAACAATCAACGTTTCACTGCTTGACAGTGCTTTACGTTTTGCTGTTTCTAATAGGATGGCAACACAGCGCTCCATGAGGTGTCGTGGCATGGCTTCTGTCAGTCGGTCAAACTGTTGGTCAAGGCCGGGGCTGACGTTCACGCCAGGAACAAGGTATAGCAATCGAAGTTTGAATATGGTAGGTCTAGATCTGTGACAAATTATGGTAAAAAGCATTAGGAGTGAAATGTGATTCTGTCTGGTGCCTAATAGGTTTTTCATGCCACTGTCAGAGTCTGTCCCAAATTGCACACTATTCCCTATGTAGTGCACTCCTTTTGAAGTAGTACACTATAATGAATAGGGTGTCGTTTGGAATTGGGATAGGTGCAGTGTTGTTTTACAGGGTCAGCCATAGTAGTACGGTTCCCCTTGAGCAAATTAGAGTTAAGTGCCTTGCTCAAGGGCACATCGACAGATATTTCACATTGACGGCTCAGTTCTGTCACACTAGGCCTGCTCTTTTGGGGGTTAGAGACAAAGACGTGTGTTTGTTCTTAGGCAGGAAACACAGCTCTCCACCTGGCCTGTCAGAATGCCAACGCTAAGAGCGCCCGTGTGCTGCTGCTGGGAGGCTCCAGACCCGACATCAAGAACAATGTGGGGGACACCTGTCTGCATGTGGCAGCACGTTACAATCACCTGGCCATGATCAAGATTCTGGTGGGCGCCTTATGCTCTGTTACGGAGAAAAACCAGGTAGGTCCCAGCTTCTACTTTGACTGCTCTCACACCTACAGTGAGTGAAAAAAGTATTTGATCCCCTGCTGATTTTGTACGTTTGCCCACTGACAAAGAAATGATCAGTCTATAATTTTAATGGTAGGTATATTTGAACAGTGAGAGACAGAATAACAACAACAAAAATCCAGAAAAACGCATGTCAAAAATGTTATAAATTGATTTGCATTTTAATGAGGGAAATAAGTATTTGACCCCTCTGCAAAACATGACTTAGTACTTGGTGGCAAAACCCTTGTTGGCAATCAGAGAGGTCAGACATTTCTTGTAGTTGGCCACCAGGTTTGCACACATCTCAGGAGGGATTTTGTCCCACTCCTCTTTGCAGATCTTCTCCAAGTCATTAAGGTTTCAAGCCTGACGTTTGGCAACTCGAACCTTCAGCTCCCTCCACAGATTTTCTATGGGATTAAGGTCTGGAGACTGGCTAGGCCACTCCAGGACCTTAATGTGCTTCTTCTTGAGCCACTCCTTTGTTGCCTTGGCCGTGTGTTTTGGGTCATTGTCATGCTGGAATACCCATCCACGACCCATTTTCAATGCCCTGGCTGAGGGAAGGAGGTTCTCACACAAGATTTGACGGTACATGGCCCCATCCATCGTCCCTTTGGTGCGGTGAAGTTGTCCTGTCCCCTTAGCAGAAAAACACCCCCAAAGCATAATGTTTCCACCTCCATGTTTGACGGTGGGGATTGTGTTCTTGGGGTCATAGGCAGCATTCCTCCTCCTCTAAACACGGCGAGTTGAGTTGATGCCAAAGAGCTCCATTTTGGTCTCATCTGACCACAACACTTTCACCCAGTTCTCCTCTGAATCATTCAGATGTTCATTGGCAAACTTCAGACAGGTATGTATATGTGCTTTCTTGAGCAGGGGGACCTTGCGGGCGTTGCAGGATTTTAGTCCTTCACGGCGTAGTGTGTTACCAATTGTTTTCTTGGTGACTATGGTCCCAGCTGCCATGAGATCATTGACAAGATCCTCCCGTGTAGTTCTGGGCTGATTCCTCACCATTCTCATGATCATTGCAACTCCACGAGGTGAGATCTTGCATGGAGCCCCAGGCCGAGTGAGATTGACAGTCTTTTGTGTTTCTTCCATTTGCGAATAATCGCACCAACTGTTGTCACCTTCTCACCAAGCTGCTTGGCGATGGTCTTGTAGCCCATTCCAGCCTTGTGTAGGTCTACAATCTTGTCCCTTACATCCTTGGAGAGCTCTTAGGTCTTGGCCATGGTGGAGAGTTTGGAATCTGATTGATTGATTGCTTCTGTGGACAGGTGTCTTTTATACAGGTAACAAGCTGAGATTAGGAGCACTCCCTTTAAGAGTGTGCTCCTAATCTCAGCACGTTACCTGTAGAAAAGACACCTGGGAGCCAGAAATCTTTCTGATTGAGAGGGGGTCAAATACTTATTTCCCTCAATAAAATGCAAATCAATTTATAACATCTTTGACATGCGTTTTTCTGGATTTTTTTGTTGTTATTCTGTCTCTCACTGTTTAAATAAACCTACCATTAAAATTATAGACTGATCATTTCTTTGTCAGTGGGCAAACGTACAAAATCTGCAGGGGATCAAATACTTTTTTCCCTCACTGTATAGTCACCTCTTCCCTGTGCCCAGCTAGGGGAGGGTTTAGTCACCTGTCTGTTTCCTGTGCCCAGCTAGGGGACACTGCTCTCCATGTGGCGGCTGCCCTAAACCACAAGAAAACTGTTCAGCTCCTCCTGGAGGCAGGGACTGACGGCAACGCACGAAACAACGTAAGTGGATGCATCTCAAATGCTACTCTATTACAATAAAGTTCTGTACTTCTGACCAGGGGATTGCGTTTAAAAGGTGTCAACAGTGCAGGGTCCTTGTCAGCAATGCGCCTTTCAATGAATCCCTGTCTGTTCCAGGCAGGGAAGACTGCCCTGGACAAGGCCAGAGACTACAACCACAAAGACGTGTCTCTCCTGCTGGCCAGAGCTCCTCAGGTCAGCATGAGATGTTTCTTTGGACATAGACCAATGATACACTGATACACATTATAAACTGATTCGGGCATCAAAACGTACATTTCCCTCCAAGAGTGACACCGTTTATTAAGGAGTATAAAGAGTGCAGATGATTACCCATCGCCTCGAAGAGTAGTCTGTTTTTCCAGTCTGTAATCCAGTCTGTTCTTCATTTAATGCACCTTGGCTGGACTGTGAGGTAGCAACAGACAGTATAGTTAGTCTTTAGTTATCTACTCTCCTGTGTTTTGGTCAGATCCACTGTTTCACCAGAGGAAGGACGGTGAGGATGAAAAGGAACCGGCTGAAGGCAGAACGCAGAACCCAGTCTGTCACCAGGGAAGAAATGCTGCCCAACAAGGTAAAGGCTGTCTGGGGGTAACATTAGACAGTGTATATTGACCAGTAGAAAATGGATGACAGTAGACGGCAGTATGCTAACCCAATGTTAGATATGATGTTCACGTTATTTGTGCCTCTTGAGTTATTGGGTTGGGATAAAGCGGAAGTCAAACCTTCATGGACCTTTGGTGTACAATTGGACAAAAAAGTTATCTTATTCTTCACCTCTTCCTCCTGGCTATTTCCTTCATCAGGACAGTGGGTACATGGCTGAGGCATGTCACAGTAGTGAGCGTATTGCCAGCAGGGCCGGCCTCAACAGAGCAGGGCTGCCTCACCATCATCACCACCGCCTTCACTACAGTAAAACATCAGTCACCCCAACCAGCCCTTACCACAGAAGGAGAAGAAATAAGCTTTTCAAAGAACAGGTGCTTGGGGGTGTGTCTCAGGGGATTGGGAGGAAAAAGACCATTTCTGTTCCTTGCAAGATAATGGACAATAAATTATTCTTCTTCTTCTTCCAGGCCTTGGCAGAGGATACTCCTAGAAGAAGAATGAACGGTCATCCCGACCTCCACAGGAAGAGCAGACTGTGTACACATGATGATGAAGTCCCTCCTCCTCACAACGGCAAAATCTATCAGCTATACACCCTGTACCGCGACAAGGACGGCAATGTCAAACAGGTCAGTCACTACGCTGCAAAATTCTGGTAATTTCCCAAAATCCTCAGGTTTTCGTGAAACCCCAGTTAGAGGATTCCCATGCCACCTTTTTATTGCCTCTTGAAGTTATCTAAATGTTTCAACCCTAGGGGTGGGGTGTCCATAACTGAAGTGGTAGTAGTGGTACAGTACAGTATAATAGTTTTTGTTGCTGTTGATAGTGGTAATATAAGAGATCTAGAAAGAAACCTATGAAAGAAACCCAAAGAAAAGATGTAAAACAAATATCACAATTATACATGATTGTGCCCTCTGGTCAGGCCCTAGCCAATGGCTGCCACTGTAAGCCCCTGATCAAGAGGCTGCATGGAGAGCTGAAGGCCACTAAAGAGGAGATGAGGACACAGATGCTGACAGTTCAGGAGCAAGTCAATACTAGGCTGGGGAGGATGGACCGCAAGAGCAAACACCAGGTCTGTCTGCTACCAGTCAATTCAATTCAACTTTGTTGCACACATGGCATTTTCTGTCTCATATAGAAAGAAAAACTACAAATACAGCCTGTAAACCTTGTAGTCTATATTTGAGGTTTAAAAGGCTTCTAAAGTTTCTAATTTCCACTTAAAAATGTCGGACTTGAGTTTTTTAGCAACCCCTTTTTTAGCACCATATAGTGCAATACTTATGAACGCGCCCTATGGGCCCTGGTCAAAAGTAGTGCACTATAGGGTATAGGCCGCAATTTGAGACGCAACCATGAATTCTGTTAGACTGATAGCTGCTGTTCGGCGTTGTGTTGATCAGATCAAAGTGCTGGACATGCTGACCCAGGAGAGGGTGGCAGCAGAGAGGATGGAGTGTCTCTACAGGATGAACCAGAGAGCTGCGCAGGGCAGAGAGGAGGCACAGAGGAGACAGGTATTGTATTACATGGCACAACCACACCCTTATATACCTTCTGTCTACGTACCAAATGGCACTCTATTCCCTATATAGTGTACTACTTTTAACCAGGGCCTTATTCACCCTTCTTAATAAAGTCTGGAATTTATTCACAACAGCTCTCACTAACATCTTCACTAACCCACATCCTCTCAAAACATGACAATAGGTATTTCTGGTGTTCATTCACACAACAAGCAGGCAGCAGTGACCCTAACCATTATTTCCTCTGGTTGTTCACAAACAAAACAGGCAGCAGTGACCCTAATCCTAGCCCTAACCTCTGGGTTGTTCCACGAAATGAGTGCCTTTTGCGTCCCTTTGATATTTTAAGCAGAAATTGTGCACCATTTTTTTATTTTAAAAGCCTGTTATATTAACTGATGTGCCTTTTAATATAAACCACATGGAGAATTCAATAAATCAAATTTGTAATATGAAAAAACACTTTACGTCTGTCCCTAATTTTAAGGTCAACCCTTTTATGTGAACTGAATTCTCGTTTTAATGTGGTGAAACTATTCCTTTTTTAAATATTTTTTTTCTAAAGAAAAATGTTACATTTAATAGTCAAACCATAGTGTAAAAGCAGGTGAGCTGGTTGTACTCTTTTTGAACATGTTCTGGTGTTTTGTGGTGGAAAAGTGAGTGAGTCGAACATAACATGACAACCCTGTTACCCACAGATAGTTTTAACAGTAAAACATTTTGGGTGAAGCTTACTTTCAATTGTCTCCCTGTTGCACACAACAAACTTCCATTCCCCATCACAAGGGGATTTATGGCAGTTTCAACATGAAATCGTCAACCATGTTACAGTCAACCGTTACTTTATTTTGCACTCCATAGGCACTTACTATAGTAATTTTCTTATTTAACCTTGAGATGGGAAAAATCGTTTTCTTATGAAGTTGAACATGTGCTCTTTATGACAGAATGAAATTAGGTGAAATCAAAAGTTACACTACTCAGAAGGCACCCAATTTGTCTCTCTGGTTGCTCACACCCCAAGCAGGCAGCAGCGACCCAGGAGCTGAAGAGGTGGTGCATGACTCAGATCCAGGATATGGACCTCCACCTCCCAGCCGACCCCCAGTACTACAAGCTGCTCCCCTCCCCATCTGTGGAGCAGTCTGTGGGGGACGATGGAGGCTCAGAGTGCCTCCCCCTGCTCTCTGTCTTCTCTGGGGACAGCAGCAGCTCTCTGGCCACCTACGTCAACCTGCTGCCATGCCCCTCACCCTCGCCCTCTACCACCCACAATGCACCACCCAGCCTGGCGATGGAGCAGGAGCAGGGCCAGGGTCAGGGGTCGGCCAGGAAGTACTTTGAGCTGAAGCTGGACAGATCGCCAGGTGGGTGTTAGGTGGAGCATGATGATGATAATGATGATGAGACATTGGAGGGTGGTTCCAGGAATAAAGTCAAAATCTCCCCAAAAAAGTCCCATCGGATTTCTAAAGTAAGGATTTGTTTAACCTCATCCCCAAATTTTTGGGGATGAAGTTGTTGGGTTGACAGTAGGTCTAGGTCCTACACCTCTGATTTAGAAAACGCACAAGCTTGAAAAACAAGCTTCTCCATTTCTCGTTCTTCTCTTCTCAGATGACTACCAGAACACTACTCTTCTCCCTCTGCCAGCTCACCACCATCACCCAAGAATCCTCCTGAGCTCTACCGCCACCAGGTGGCAGCATCCAGAACTGCACGACAATCACATTCCGGGGCTGATCTGGGAGGGCTGCTCCAGGAGTGTCAGCAGCAGCCAGTCTCCCACCAGCGACTGGAAGCAGGAACGGGGCCAGGACAGCCATGGCTGGCACCACAGGAAGCACCTCCGGGACCGGATCAGGACGCGCGGCCTGATAAGACCACCCAGCGTCGGGACCAGGACCCTGGAGTTCTTCGTGGACAGACCCCCTGAGCCCACATTCAGCCAGGAGAGAAACAACCTACACGCCATGGAGGTAACTGATGACAAGATAGCTGTGGTGAATACTATGTCAATGGCTTCACATTGGGCTATGTGGACCAATGATTCCTTTTCACTGGGATTCTGGGAAGGGGTTGTGTGTGGGGAAGGGGTAACTTATTCTTCACTAACTTCATGTATCTTTGTTGCAGGTGACCCAAAGGTTCTTTGAGACAGTGTCCACTCAGCTGGAGTACTGGTATGAGAGGAAGATCCAGGATGCAAAGCGGCAGGCGGAGCTCAGGGCACAGAAGGACAGGGCCGAACTCCTGCAGCGAATTAGAAGCCTGGAGGAGGAGCTGGAACAACTCAGGATGACCAATGGGAGCACAGACAGTTGATGCCAACCGGGCTAACATCATGAGTTTGAGCAGAGAGGAAGAGACGAAGCAAGAGGGTTTACTCTGCCCAAAATCTGTCCACAAAAGTAAGACCAACAAGTGAGGAATTTTTGTATGGAGGACAATGAGAGTCGAATTTGGTCAACAAAAACTTTAATTGCTAATTTGCTACATGAGGCTTATTTGATCGAATAGAAGTTTCGGAATGGTTAGGTTGTTACGAATGCACTGATACACAGTGCCTTGCAAAAGTATTCATCCCCCTTTGCGTTTTTCCTATTTTGTTGCATTACAACCTATAATTTAAATGGATTTTTATTTGGATTTCATGTAATGGACATACACAAAATAGTCAAAATTGGTGAAGTGAAATGAAAAAAATTACTTGTTTCAAAAATGTAAAACAATAAATAACGGAAAAGTGGTGCGTGCATATGTATTCACCCCCTTTGCTATGAAGCCCCTAAATAAGATCTGGTGCAACCAATTACCTTCAGAAGTCAAATAATTAGTTAAATAAAGTCCACCTGTGTGCAATCTAAGTGTCACATGATCTGTCACATGATCTCAGTATATATACACCTGTTCTGAAAGGCCCCAGAGTCTGCAACACCACTAAGCAAGGGGCACCACCAAGCAAGCAGCACCATGAAAACCAAGAAGCTCTCCAAACAGGTCAGGGACAATGTTGTGGAGAAGTACAGTTCAGGGTTGGGTTATAAAAAAAATCCTAAACTTTGAACATCCCACGGAGCACCATTAAATCCATTATTAAAAATTTGAAAGAATATGGCACCACAACAAACCTGCCAAGAGAGGGTCGCCCACCAAAACTCACGGACCAGGCAAGGAGGGCACTAATCAGAGAGGCAACAAAGAGACCAAAGATAACCCTGAAGGAGCTGCAAAGCTCCACAGCGGAGATTGGAGTATCTGTCCATAGGACCACTTTAAGCCGTACACTCCACAGAGCTGGGCTTTACGGAAGAGTGGCCAGAAAAAAGCCATTGCTTAAAGAACAAAAATAAGCAAACACGTTTGGTGTTCGCCAAAAGGCATGTGGGAAACTCCCCAAACATATGGAAGAAGGTACTCTGGTCAGATGACTAAAATGTTGCTTTTTGGCCATCAAGGAAAACGCTATGTCTGGCGCAAACACAACACCTCCCATCACCCCGAGAACACCATCCCCACAGTGAAGCATGGTGGTGGCAGCATCATGCTGTGGGGATGTTTTTCATCGGCAGGGACTGGGAAACTGGTCCGAATTGAAGGAATGATGGATGGCGCTAAATACAGGGAAATTCTTGAGGGAAACCTGTTTCAGTCTTCCAGAGATTTGAGACTGGGACGGAGGTTCACCTTCCAGCAGGACAATGACCCTAAGCATACTGCTAAAGCAACAAGTGGTTTAAGGGGAAACATTTAAATATCTTGGAATGGCCTAGTCAAAGCCCAGACCTCAATCAAATTGAGAATCTGTGGTATGACTTAAAGATTGCTGTACACCAGCGGAACCCATCCAACTTGAAGGAGCTGGAGCAGTTTTGCCTTGAAGAATGGGCAAAAATCTCAGTGGCTAGATGTGCCAAGCTTATAGACATACCCCAAGAGACTTGCAGCTGTAACTGCTGCAAAAGGTGGCTCTACAAAGTATTGACTTTGGGGGGATGAATAGTTATGCACGCTCAAGTTTTCTGTTTTTTTTTGTCTTATTTGTTGTTTGTTTCACAAGAAAAAATATTTTGTATATTCAAAGTGGTAGGCATGTTGTGTAAATCAAATGATACAAACCACCTAAAATCAATTTTAATTCCAGGTTGTAAGGCAACAAAATAGGAAAAATGCCAAGGGAGGTGAATACTTTCGCAAGCCACTGTAAGTGAATGCATGTGGCATTTCGCCAACTTTGAAAAAACAACAACTTTATATCAGAGTTGTGCCTTTTGTTCACACGCATATCTGCCCTCTCATTGGCTAGAATAGTCCCACCTGATCTCGACTCCTTTGGCCTACCTTCCATCAAAGACAGTACAGTGCTTCCATCTTTAAGGACATGTATTTCCAATGTTAGAGTGGTCACTCGACTATCTTGTCAATATAATAGATCATTGGTTTGAGAGGCCGACTAGCCAAAATCTAAAATTGACCCTTACCCTAACCCATACCTTAACCTAATTGTAACCAATTTTAAAATTAAATATCACGTCTGCTACGTCCCCTTTGTTTTTCCCGTTTATTGCTGATAGCTGCTCCTATGCATCGTTCCACTTTAATACTGGTTACTACCTAGTCACATCTATGAGTGACGTGTTTTCTTTATGGATCCTTCCCTGACTACGCCTACAGGCCAGAGATATTATGTGGTACAACCTACCAGAATATAATGTAGTAGTATCTGACAAATTCCTAATGGCAACAAATCCGGGTCTACTTTTTGCTCAATTTTTTTTTTACAGTTTGTATTTTCTTTGAAAACACAGCAGCAACCAATAAAACTCACTCTGAGCATGTGTTTTTCCTTTAATTTGTACCTTTTCATCTTTGCTAGTTTCTTTCAATCTTTCCCAAATATAAATTTCATAGGACACACATTTGAAAAAAGGAACAATCTGAACAATAAAAACATTTACATCTCATACTTAGGTTAAAAGGTTAAAAATGGAACGTACAAATGTAGAACACACTCTTACGATGCCAAACTGTAAAGTCCTACTCGTGTTGCTGTATCGTGGTAGAGGTCGGGGTTCTGGTTGGCGAGATGGTGGGCTTGCGTTTCTTGAGGAGGGTTTTGATGCTCCTCTTGGTTGGCATGGCAACGCCGTTGTATATGAGCAGGAAGCCGAAGAGCAGCAGGCCTCCCAGGATGATGGCTGCCATGTTGTTGACGAGGTGTTGGGTTGGGAACGCCAACGGAGGCTCGTCTACGTAGATCTACCCGTATAGGAAGAGAGAGAGAAAGGGGGAGAGAGAGCAAGGAAGGAGAGAAATTGGTGAGGGCCGGGGGTTGTCATGTTCTTCTTTTTTATGAGTTACTGACTTGAGTGTAAAAGCTATAGGATCCCTCACCTGTACCTCCTCCACCAGGTCACACAACACAACTCCAGGGATGACAGAGATACGGAAGTGGAAAAGCTCAGAGCCCTGTGGAGAATAATGGTGGTGGTTGTTGGGTTGAGAATATATTATATTTATAACATTGTCATAATGAAAACGCAGATGGAAACTGCTATTTCATAGCACAATTCACATGACTGAAATGACAGTATTTCTATGGAGATGTATACAGATTACACTCAACTGTTTTACAATTTATGAACATTTCATATAGTCAGGGAGACTGTAGATGACTTACATAAAGGCTGATCTGCAGTCCCTCAGGGTTGTAGAGATTGTTTTCTAGACTGTCTTTAAGATATTGTCTCATCCTGTCCATTGTGGGGGTTGCATGGGTCCCTACGAACACAAAGGATGGGAAAAGACGGGTTAACAACAGAGAATGTGTGTTTCACTATAGTGCACTAGAGACCTGCCCACCAGGCAATATTTTGCATTGGCAGTCGTAATCACACCCCTTTCTGGTTGAAATTAGTTTTTCTGGTTGAAAAGATGACAGAAAATCTGTATTTTTCACATTTTAAAGCTGGAATCCTTAATGGTGAAACCGCCACATCCGTTTGGGATATTACAACAACAAAGAAGTTACTGCAAACAACGAACACTGTATTTTCCCACTCAGACACATTGCACACGTGATAGAACAGCAGAATATGTACAGCATATTGTTTTTACACAACGCACCTCGCCTCCGTTTCGTCCACAAAACAAAAACAATAACAAAGGTGCTGGGGCGAACAGTGGCGCTGTTTCCCCTAATGCTGATTCCGTCTTTAAAAACATCCATATATGATCACTATACTAACATCAGTATACGAATATCATTGCAAAGCCTTCTGGAATGAGACTGACCTGTGACCTTCCAGCTGGTCCGGTTGTTGACCTCTGTGACAGTAACAAAGTACGGAGAGCAGAGCGGGCGGTCAGCATGATTGGTTCTCCTCAGGAACAGGGTGATGTTGAAGTCAGTCACAGGAAACGTTAGCCTCAGCACCTACAGTCGTGGTCAAAAGTTTTGAGAATGACACAAGTATTGGTCTTCACAAAGTTCGCTGCTTCAGTGTTATGAGATATTTTTGTCAGATGTTACTATGGTATACTGAAGTATAATTACAAGCATTCCATAAGTGTCAAAAGCTTTTATTGACAATTACATTAAGTTTATGCAAAGAGTCAATATTTGCAGTGTTGACCCTTCTTTTTCAAGACCTCTGCAATCCGCCCTGGCATGCTGTCAATTAACTTCTGGGTCACATCCTGACTGATGGCAGCCCATTCTTGCATAATCAATGCTTGGAGTTTGTCAGAATTTGTGGGTTTTTGTTTGTCCACCTGCCTCTTGAGGATCGACCACAAGTTCTCAATGGGATTAAGGTCTGGGGAGTTTCCTGGCCATGGACCCAACATTTCAATGTTTTGTTCCCCGAGCCACTTAGTTATCACTTTTGCCTTATGACAAGGTGCTCCATCATGCTGGAAAAGGCATTGGTCGTCACCAAACTGTTCTTGGATGGTTGGGGGAAGTTGCTCTCTGAGGATGTGTTGGTACCATTCTTTATTCATGGCTGTGTTCTTAGGAAAAAATGTGAGTGAGCCCACTCCCTTGGCTGAGAAGAAACCCCACACATGAATGACTTTACCCGAGTCCTCAGCAGTCCAATCCCTGTACCTTTTGCAGAATATCAGTCTGTCCCTGATGTTTTTCCTGGAGAGAAGTGGCTTCTTTGCTGCCCTTCTTGACACCAGGCCATCCTCCAAAAGTCTTCGCCTCACTGTGCGTGCAGATGCACTCACACCTGCCTGCTGCCATTCCTGAGCAAGCTCTGCACTGGTGGTGCCCCGATCCCGCAGCTGAATCAACTTTAAGAAACGGTCCTGGCGCTTGCTGGACTTTCTTGGGCGCCCTGATGCCTTCTTCACAACAATTGAACCTCTCTCCTTGAAGTTCTTGATGATCCGAAAAATTGTTGATTTAGGTGCAATCTTACTAGCAGCAATATCCTTGACTGTGAAGGCCTTTTTGTGCAAAGCAATGATGACGGCACGTGTTTCCTTGCAGGTAACCATGGTTAACAGAGGAAGAACAATGATTTCAAGCACCACCCTCCTTTTAAAGCTTCCAGTCTGTTATTCTAACTCAATCAGCATGACAGAGTGATCTCCAGCCTTGTCCTCGTCAACACTCTCACCTGTGTTAACGAGAGAATCACTGACATGATGGCAGCTGGTCCTTTTGTGGCAGGGCTGAAATGCAGTGGAAATGTTTTTTTTGGGATTAAGTTCATTTTCATGGAAAAGAGGGACTTTGCAATTAATTGCAATTCATCTGATCACTCTTCATGACATTCTGGAGTATATGCAAATTGCCATCATCAAAACTGAGGCAGCAGACTTTGTGAAAATGAGTATTTGTGTCATTCTCAAAACGTTTGACCACGACTGTACAGTACAACACAGAGGACGTGGGAGAGACTAAAGGGGCTTTTTAAAACCAATATACGATTTTGATCTGATTTCATTCGTTCTCGCAGTCGACAAGACTGAATTATGCAGAATGCACAATTTCAGTAAGACAATACTTTAATATATTCCACAGAGTGTATAGCATATTCAATATTGTTTTGTGTTATAAAATGTTACAATATTTTATGTATATGTCATTTTTTTGTTTTTGGAAGACATTGATGATTGATAACACTGATGCTGATGTGTACCCTCTGTCTGCAGTCAGAGTTGATGGCTAGAGGAGAGACTTTCAGTCCGTCTGTACAGCCACATTCCTCTGCTGACCTTTTCCCTGCACACTGCTTATACCGACCAGAGTCCTGGAGGAAGGCACACAATTTGTTACCCCAAACACTCTGAGTAAGTATCACAGCTTACACAACACAGAAGTACATATAGACACTTAGTTAAGTTACACTGCACAAACATTAAAGACTTGCTCACCTTGGAGACAAGGTGGTGCTGGCGTGTATGAACCTTGTGACCTGTGCTCACCTTGGAGATGGGGTAGTGCTGTCTGGGGCGGGGCTGACTTGGGTCAGCGTTATAGATGTTGTCTGTGGTCGGGATTGAAACACCTAGCTGGGAGGGAGGCCGGTAGTTCACCTGAAGCACGCACACACATCTCATTATCTGCACACAGGTCAACTAATCAAACATCGATCGCATGCCTGTAACCCAGTGTATCTCTATCTCTCACAGGCAGGTTGAAAAGCCTCTTGTTGTCCATGTGATCTACTGGATCTGTGTAGATCCATTCGTGATCACTGATTGGCTGTTGGGAGACATAGATGATTTGGAGTCCCTCAGGGCAGGAGTTCTGTAGCGTGAAGGTGAAGGAGGAGGACCTACACAACAGAGAGGCTTCTGGGATGTATACCATTACTGTGGTGGTTGCCTAGGGGCAGAGGCAAAGATAATACAACACAATGGAGGAACACACTTCAGACAACTGCATTCAGCCGGGTTGGGGTTCCATTTTAATTCAGTCAATTCAGGAAGTAAAATGGAATTCCAATTCCAATTCTTTCAATAAAAAAATTAATGGAATTTCAGTCCACTTCCAGAAATGAGTGAATTGAAATGGAATTGACCTATACCCTGATATTCTGTATGTAACTACAAAATGCTTTCATGTTATTATTAGTCTATATAGACAAACGCAAGGATGATATGAGGGTGATATGGAGTATTGGAGGTATACCTTCTTGCAGAGGTGACTGAAGGCGGTGAGGGTGAGCATGTGGTTGTTGGTGTCGTCCCAGGAGTGTCTGGCTGTGACTCGGATGGCCAGAGGGTTGGTCAGAACCACACGCATGAACTTCTTATGGTACACCATGGACAGAGCTGCGCACACACACACACACACACACACACACACACACAGGGATTTTGTGAGAACGAGAGCATTAAAGCTGGAATCCTTAATTGGTGAAACTGTTTGGGATATTACAACAACAAAGAAGTTACTGCAAAAACAAACTGTTTGTTCTCCCCTCAGACATCATTGCACACAAGTGATAGAACAGCAGAATAATTAAATACAAAATGACCACGCTGCCGAAGCCTCCTCTCCTCAGTTTCAACAACAAAACAATAACAAAGGTGCTGGAGGCGAACAGTGGCGCTGTTCCCCTAATGCGGATTTCGATCTTTAACTATAGATTACCCTTTCAAAAGAATGTAGACAGTGATACAAAGTCAATAGTAATTAGTAATAACCCAGACACCACACACTTCAACCCCCACACCACCACTACTCACAGTAGTCGGACATGAAGGCCTTGAAGGTGAAGTTGAGCGCTTCTCTGACGTTGATCCTCACCAGAGCGTTATTCCTCACACCGTTCAATGACTGCAGGGCGTGACGACATGGCCCCTCCTTCATCCCCCAGCTCCCCAGGCCTAGATGAATAAATGGATGGATGGATTTATTTCACACATTTAAAATACATATAGGGTTGGTTTCCCAGATCTTGGATTAAGAAGCACTTTCAATGGAGAATCTCTATTAAGCATACTTTTTAGTCCAGGACCAGGCTTAATCTGCGTACGGGAAACCAGCCCATAGAGTTACCTCAGGCGAGTACAACAACAATACACATTAAAAATCCTTGCGTATTTAATAACACACAATAAACACAGCAACCTGCAGAGTGGAAGAGCAGCCACTCTCCTGCCCGGTGGCTGGTCAGGGGGAGCACTAGGGCTGGCATGGTGGGTTTGGCCAGGGCACTGCCGCTGGGCAGCAACCCTGTGATGAGGTAACTGCTGAAGCCTGGCGCTACCACAGCCTTCCCCATGTGGGACAGATTAAACCCCTGGGACGGATCTGGACAAGACAGGACAGGACAGGACAGTACAGCTCAGAGTTTACCCAGGAGAAAAAGCAGCAGGGTTGACTAAGGCAGGCAGCTCATTGTTTACCACAGAAGAATGATAGCGTTATCATCCAAGGAATCCTAACTTCATGTGTGCACACTTAAATTGATTCTTCCTTTAAATGGATCTGGCAAGTCAGGCAGCTCATAGTTTGCCTCAGGAGAAACAGCAGCGGGCCGGGTAAACAAAAGCTATGAGTTGTGAGTAGTGGCTGATTTATTTTGGATCGTGTCTTAAGACTCATGACGAGAGATTGAGATCATAGCTAGAAATATTACATTAATTTACTTGGAAAGATAGGAAAATACCTGAAACGTAGCATGATTCTGTTTGAATTCCGGGGCTAGTACATTTACATTTACATTTTTAGTCATTTAGCAGACGCTCTTATCCAGAGCGACTTACAGGAGCAATTAGGGTTAAGTGCCTTGCTCAAGGGCAAAAAAGCAGCACAAAATAAGTTTGGGAATCACTAAATGTAAATTAACTAAAAAGTCAGTTGATTCTATCTTTCTTTCCAATTACCTAGGTCTTTGAGCTGCAGTGTAACAATGAGCCCCTCGGGCTCCTCCTTCTTCACCAACAGGTCATATGACTGCATAGGCTCCGCATTCAGGCTGGCTCCTTTGATTGGCTCCAGGATCTCCCCGACGACGACCCCGGAGAACCCCCTCAGATAGTGAGTCCGGAACACCTCTGTGATCACCACCATCCCACCGTCACTGAGGGAGAACACACACACAGACATGTATGGACATGCACACACGCACACCACACATATGCACAAAGCCTCATTTTATTAAACACACATCTGGAGGACACTGATGGCAATTACTAAGACAATACAAATATATAAAGATACTCAATATTAGATAAGAAAGTCAATATTAGATAAGAAAGTCAATATTAGATAAGGAAGTCAATGTAGATAAGGAAGTCAATATTACATGTAGATAAGAAACAAGTGTCTAAAATAGCAGTTAAAAATATCCACAAGATGACAGGTTTAAGAGATTTGGAACATGTGAGAGGTGAATGTATGGTTGAGGATAGTATTGAACAGGTGAAAAGGAAATGGGGAGTAGGGAGAGACTAGGAATAGAGTGCCCCACCCACCTGAAGTAGATGACCTTTCCCACGTGGTCAGGTGAGAAGAGGCTGGCGGGTGCCACGGTGAGAGGGTTGTTCCTGCGCTGGCGGTTGTTTTCATTAGCATGGTCATTGATGACAGCGTGCTCGTGGAGCAGGACTGTGTGGTCTGTGGTGTACTGAAGGGCCAGGGGTTTGTCAAAACCCATCTCATGTTTCTATTGGGACACAAACGCACAGTAGGTTAAAAACCAAGTCATCACTGTCTGTCTGCAACGGGCCTGACAGACAGGAGAATATCTTAATGGCCAGTATAGACAATCGATGATGAGCTATGAAAGCCATTTTTACATCAACAGTTGTCACAAACTGCAGTAACCCGATTCTTATGCCTTCTGTGGTCTGTCTGAGGATAATATCCTGTGGGCAGATTCTGCGGGTAGACCGAAGAATCTGCCGGGACTGAATGGGATGCGTGAGATAACGAGTTGCAGTAGTTCCGGTCTTTGGGTTTTGTCACTGGTTATACAGACTTATCAGGATTGGGCGAAGGCGGTGCTTAAACTGCTTGGCTTCAAGTACTTTGTGCGTGTGCCCATGCAGATCGGAAGGGGCGGGGCTTTGGCTGAGTGTTTCCTTTTGCGAGGGTGGAGACTTCGCAAACCGCCGGAACTCTCAATTTCAAACACATACAGAACCAGAAGTGAATCAAGCGGCTGACCAAATTACGCAAGATTTTACTTCTGGGTTAACTAACTAGTCTGAGGGCAGTGTCTACCCTAACTGGGTCCTGTTCAGTGTGGAATAGTGCCTATGTGTTACAAAGAAAAATCTCCCTACTGAACAGGCCGGTGGTCTGTACCGTTATGAGGTGGTCTATCTCGATGACCCTGTAGCTAAAGCCACTGGCTTTGTCTTTGTCCAGCTGAACAGCCATCAGGATGCCCATGTGACCACACAGAAGAGTACTCGCTTCATCCAGGGTCTCGTTCAACCACGCAAACCTGGCTAGACCTTCAGAAGGAGAAAGAGGGGTGGGGATGGGGAGATGTGATGGGAATGCTGGCAGGTTCAAGTAGGGCTGTGGCGGTCATGACATTTTGTCAGCCGGTCGTTGTCATGCAAAAGACTGCCGGTCTCATGGTAATTGACCGTTAATTAACATCTCCAGGCTACCATGCATACAAGCTGCTCATGGGACATATACATTTAAAAAAAGTTGAATAAATCAATTTAATATACACCATAACAATAAATCCATTATTTATTTTAGGCAGGTCTAAAGAAAAATTATGATATGAAGAAAATGTATTTCAGAAGAACAGAATATGAGTTGGTCTACTGTATGTTATCTGTCTATGTACCATGCCATAGGCTGTAGGCTTGTTCATTTAGCAGACTAGATATGCTTAAAAGTCCCGTGCCATTATTTTATATTATATGATTTTATAGTAAGAAGAATATAATTGAACTAAGCTGAATAAAATAGAAAGGATATTTTTCCCATTCCGGAGCGAGTGCGCATATGAAGTGGCTATGTTGAGCGTAAAAGTGTTCATTTGAAACAGGTCCTATATACTAGATTTAGAGTTATTTGGCAACTTTAGTTGATACAAACCTTAGAAATCAAAACATATATGGGATGCATGATGCGACTATATGCTATTGATGATTTGAGAAAGTAGCAAAAAAAGCTTGAGCTCTGTTCCTTGCCTCAGGCTGCACATGCTGTTCTCTCATCAAGTGATCATATTTTCACTATTCTAAATGTAATCTTGTCTTTACTGTTATGTAAAATTAGTTTCCATTTAGAATGACACTTTATCAAATGGACAGGAACAGGGGCAGGGGAAAAAAGTCATGCCATCCAAATGCACTTGAATAGTGAATGGAGGCCGCTTTCCCGCTGGTTTGGTTATTTCTCTCTCTGCGCGCTGGAGAAAGGAATGAAGGGGAGAGAGGAGAAGATGTAAACGCAAAGTGGTGAGATATTCTGTAGCTAAAGGTAATGCCCTATTACTAGGCTATTCAAAATCAAATACAAATGAATATATACTGAACAAAAATATAATCGCAACATGTACAGTGAGGGAAAAAAGTATTTGATCCCCTGCTGATTTTGTACGTTTGCCCACTGACAAAGAAATGATCAGTCTATAATTTTAATGGTAGGTTTATTTGAACAATGAGAGACAGAATAACAACAAAAAAATCCAGAAAAATGCATGTCAAAAATGTTATAAATTGATTTGCATTTTAATGAGGGAAATAAGTATTTGACCCCCTCTCAATCAGAAAGATTTCTGGCTCCCAGGTGTATTTTATACAGGTAACGAGCTGAGATTAGGAGCACACTCTTAAAGGGAGTGCTCCTAATCTCATTTTGTTACCTGTATAAAAGACACCTGTCCACAGAAGCAATCAATCAATCAGATTCCAAACTCTCCACCATGGCCAAGACCAAAGAGCTCTCCAAGGATGTCAGGGACAAGATTGTAGACCTACACAAGGCTGGAATGGGCTACAAGACCATCGCCAAGCAGCTTGGTGAGAAGGTGACAACAGTTGGTGTGATTATTCGCAAATGGGAGAAACACAAAATAACTGTCAATCTCCCTCGGCCTGGGGCTCCATGCAAGATCTCACCTCGTGGAGTTGCAATGATCATGAGAACAGTGAGGAATCAGCCCAGAACTACATGGGAGGATCTTATCAATGATCTCAGGCAGCTTGGACCATAGTCACCAAGAAAACAATTGGTAACGCACTACGCCGTGAAGGACTGAAATCCTGCAGCGCCCGCAAGGTCCCCCTGCTCAAGAAAGCACATATACAGGGCCATCTGAAGTTTGCCAATGAACATCTGAATGATTCAGAGGAGAACTGGGTGAAAGTGTTGTGGTCAGATGAGACCAAAATCGAGCTCTTTGGCATCAACTCAACTTGCCGTGTTTGGAGGAGGAGGAATGCTGCCTATGACCCCAAGAACACCATCCCCACCGTCAAACATGGAGGTGGAAACATTATGCTTTGGGGGTGTTTTTCTGCTAAGGGGACAGGACAACTGCACCGCATCAAAGGGACGATGGATGGGGCCATGTACCGTCAAATCTTGGGTGAGAACCTCCTTCCCTCAGCCAGGGCATTGAAAATGGGTCGTGGATGGATATTCCAGAATGACAATGACCCAAAACACACGGCCAAGGCAACAAAGGAGTGGCTCAAGAAGAAGCACATTAAGGTCCTGGAGTGGCCTAGCCAGTCTCCAGACCTTAATCCCATAGAAAATCTGTGGAGGGAGCAGAAGGTTTGAGTTGCCAAACATCACACTCGAAACCTTAATGACTTGGAGAAGATCTGCAAAGAGGAGTGGAACAAAATCCCTCCTGAGATGTGTGCAAACCTGGTGGCCAACTACAAGAAACGTCTGACCTCTGTGATTGCCAACAAGGGTTTTGCCACCAAGTACTAAGTAATGTTTTGCAGAGGGGTCAAATACTTATTTCCCTCATTAAAATGCAAATCAATTTATAACATTTTTGACATGTGTTTTTCTGGATTTCTTTGTTGTTATTCTGTCTCTCACTGTTCAAATAAACCTACCATTAAAATTATAGACTGATCATGTCTTTGTCAGTGGGCAAACGTACAAAATCAGCAGGGGATCAAATACTTTTTTCCCTCACTGTAAGTGTTGGTCCCATGTTTCATGAGCTAAAATAAAAGATCCCAGAAATGTTTCATATGCACAAAAAGCTTATTTCTCTCCAATTTTTTGCACAAATCTGTTTACATCCCTGTTAGTGAGCATTTCTCATTTTCCAAGATAATCCATCCACCTGACAGGTGTGGCATATCACGATTAAACAGCATGATCATTAGATGCACTCCAAAATGTGCACTCCAAAATGTGCACACAACACAATGCCACAGATGTCTCAAGTTTTGAGGGAGCGTGCAATTGGCTTGCTGACTGTAGGAATGTCCACCAGAGCTGTTGCCAGAGAATTTAATGTTAATTTCTCTACCATAAACCACCTCCAACGTCATTTTAGAGAATTTGGCATACGTCCAACCGGCCTCACAACCGCAGACCACATGTAACCGCAAGGCACTACAGAGGGTAGTGCGTACGGCCCAGTACATCACTGGGGCCAAGCTTCCTGCCATCCAGGACCTCTATACCAGGCGGTGTCAGAGGAAGGCCCTCAAAATTGTCAAAGACTCCAGCCACCCTAGTCATAGACTGTTCGCTCTGCTACCGCACGGCAAGCGGTACCGGAGCGCCAAGTCTAGATCCAAAAGGCTTCTTAACAGTTTCTACCCCCAAGCCATAAGACTCTTGAACAGCTAATCATGACTATCCGGACTATTTGCACTGCCCCCCCCACCCCCACCCCATCTTTTTACGCTGCTGCTATTCTGTTAATTATTTATGCATAGTCACTTTAACTCTACCCACATATTACCTCAGCTATCTCAACTAGCCGGTGCCCCCGCACATTCACTCTGCACCGGTACCCCCCTGTATATATAGCCTCCCTACTGTTATTTTATTTTACTTCTGCTCTTTTTTTCTCAACACATTTGATTTGATTTGAAAAACCACGCCAGCCCAGGACCTCCACATCCAGCTTCTTCACATGCGGGATCGTCTGAGACCAGCCACCCGGACAACTCAAGAAACTGAGGAGTATTTCTGTCTGTAATAAAGCCCTTTTGTGGGGAAAAACAAATTCCCCAGTGGGTGTGCCTGGCTTCCAAGTGGGTGGGCCTATGCCCTCCCAGGCCCACCCATGGCTGCGCCCCTGCCCAGTCATGTGAAATCCATAGATTAGGGCCTAATGAATTTATTTCAAATGACTGATTTCCTTATATGAACTGTAATATTTTTGTTCAGTATATAACTGTAGGCTTAGCCGCCCTGCACAATCAATGAACCAACAGCATCGCCTAGGCCTATACGTTCTCTCCCAGACTCATGAATAGACGTTTGGAGCATAGCATAAGGTAACCAGTCCATCCAGTATGCATAATAATACAGTCCACACTCAAAGGCGATTACTACAATTTGTTAAATTTTGGAGTATAAGCTAGACCAATTATGTACCAACAGTTTAAAAAAAAAATGTTTTTCTGCCGTGCATAATATGCCGTAGGCTATGTATTGTATAACGGCACAATCATTATTTTAATTCAGGGGTTTCTTCCGGGCTTGGGCTCATAGGCCTACGCGTACTCATAACCTCTGTTTTGAATTAATCATCACCTTAGAAAGTGCTGTCCATTTAGTTGTGTTAGGCTATGAAACAACATCCACAATGAACATGTTTTCCACTCAGTTTCAACCTGTTGTTGAACTTCTTTCTTCAAATTGATCAATCACAGTGATGTGAGTTTTCAAAGCACATACTGTTTTGATGATTATGTTTGATTTGATTTTCGATTGCATTTGCATTGATATCAGAGTGGTTAGAGGGACAATAGAGCCCTGAGTACCAGGCCATTAGTGACCTAATGGTCGTTAGCGAGTTGTGTACTACCAATACATGTCCTGAGTGCATAAGAGATTACCATGACTCAACGGCCACGTGGAATTTTACTGTGGTCATGACTCATGACTGCCGGTGTGGCGGTAATACGGTCACCACAACAACCCTTGGTTCAAGCCTACTCCTGCAGTTACTACAGCATATTATTTAGGAGTTGGATGGTGATGTTCCAGGTTGTCTGTTTTGCATTCACCCTGTTCTCAGAAGGGTTCACATACAAACATGGTTCCTTCCTGAGTAGTTACAAACTTCTCCAGGCGTTGTGAGATTGGATCATTTGAGAAGCACGACTGCAAAAAAGATAACCTGGAACGTCACCATTGTTGTTGTCCCCACCTGACTTCATGATGTAGAGGTTTCCATGGTCAGTAGAGAACACTACCACTCCACTGACAGTACAGCTCAGAGCGTCTATAACGTTCTGATTGTCTAGAGAGAACACCAATGTGAAGGTAGAGCCTCTGTCTGACGATGTCCACACCTAAACACAACATAATACACAGACAAAGGTTGTGTAAGGGAAATACATTATGGTATCAAATTCATCATACTTAGTTAGGACCCTGAGGTTTTCCTATCTCCTATATTTTTTATTTTGTCAAGTTACTTGAACTCTGTGTGTGTGTGTGTGTGTGTGTGTGCATGTGCATCTGTGCGATGTATGTGTGTGTGTGCCATCACCTCTGAGCCGTACAGGATAACATGGCTGTCCAACAGGAAGATCCCTCTGGGCTGGAAGTTTAGAAGCACCGGGGGGAACTTGGTGTGACGCTGAAAAAGTTCCTCCGCCTTTACACCAAACACTGACACCATCGCACCCTTCTGCTGGAAGAGAGAGACACAAAATACAATTTCATGATCATACCATCTGGGTTTTTACTTGACTCAAATTAAATCAAATTAATCTCATACAAAGAGAATGGAATCCACAATTAATGGATTGCACTCACTTTGTATGAAATGTGCTATACACTGAGTGTACGAAATATTAAGAACACCTGGTCTTTCCATGACATAGACTGACCAGGTGAATCCAGGTGAAAGCTATGATCCCTTATTGATGTCAATTTTTAAATCAACTTCAAATCAGTGTAGATGAAGGGGAGGAGACAGGTTAAAGAATGATTTTTAAGCCTTGAGTACATTGAGGGCAATGGGCAAGACAAAATATTTAAATGCCTTTGAACGGGGTATGGTAGAAAGTGCCAGGTACACCGGTTTGTGTCAAGAACTGTAACGCAGCTGGGTTTTTTCAAGCTCAACATTTTCCCGTGTGTATCACCCAAAGGACATCCAGCCAACTTGGCACAACTGTGGGAAGCATTTAAGTCAACATGGGCCAGTTTCCCCGTGGAACGATTTTGACACCTTGTCGAGTTCATGTCCTGACGAATTGAGGCTGTTCTGAGGGTGAAAGGCGGGGGTGCAACTCAATATTAGGAAGGTGTTCATAATGTTTTGTACACTAGATGTAGATACACACTACCTTTCAAAAGTTTGGGGTCACATAGAAATGTCCTTGATTTCCATGAAAACATACATAAATGAGTTTGAATAGGAAATATTGCAAAATGCAAAGGAAATGTAGTCATTGACAAGGTTAGAAATAATGATTTTTAATATAAATATAAATTAATATAAATAATAATTGTGTCCTTCAAACTTTGCTTTTGCAGCAATTACAGCCTTGCAGACCTTTGGCATTCTAGTTGTCAATTTGTTGAGGTAATCTGAAGAGATTTCACCCCATGCTTCCTGAAGCACCTCCCACAAGTTGGATTGGCTTGATGGGCACTTCTTACGTACCATACGGTCAAATTCTTGCATAGTTTGGAGTTGTGATTTGGGTCATTGTCCTGTTGTAGGAGGAATTTGGCTCCAATCAAGCGGCGTCCACAGGGTATGGCATGGCGTTGCACAATGGAGTGATAGCCTTCCTTTTTCAAAATCCCTTTTACCCTGTACAAATCTCCCACTTTACCACCACCAAAGCACCCCCAGACCATCACATTACCTCCACCATGCTAAAAAGATGGCATCAAGAACTCCTCCAGCATCTTCTCATTTGGTCTGCGTCTCACAAATGTTCTTCTTTGTGATCCGAACACCTCAAACTTCGATTCGTCTGTCCATAACACTTTTTTTCTAATCTTCCTCTGTCCAGTGTCTGTTCTTTTGCTCATCTTAATCTTTTCTTTTTATTGGCTAGTCTTTTTCTTTGGAACTCTGCCTAGAAGGTCAGCATCCCGGAGTCGCCTCTTCACTGTTGACGTTGAGACTGGTGTTTTGCGGGTACTATTTAATGAAGCTGCCAGTTAAGGATCCGTGAGGCGTCTGTTTCTCAAACTAGACACTGTAATGTATTTGTCCTCTTGCTCAGTTGTGCACCGGGGCCTCCCACTCCTCTTTCTTTCTGGTTAGAGCCAGTTTGCGCTGTTCCGTGAAGGGAGTAGTACACAGCGTTGTACAAGATCTTCAGTTTCTTGGCAATTTCTCGCATGGAATAGCCTTCATTTTTCAGAACAAGAACAGACTGACGAGTTTCAGAAGAAAGTTATTTGTTTCTGGACATTTTGAGCCTGTAATCGAACCCACATTTGCTGATGCTCCAGATACTCAACTAGTCTCAAGAAGGCCAGTGATATTGCTTCTTTAATCAGCACAACAGTTTTCAGCTGTGCTATCATAATTGCAAAAGGGTTTTCTAATAATAAATTAGCCTTTTAAAATGATAAACATGGATTAGCAAACACAACGTGCCATTGGAATGGTTGCTGATAATGGGCCTCTGTACGCCTATGTAGATATTCCATAAAAAATCAGCTGTTTCCAGCTACAATAGCCATTTACAACATTAACAATGTCTACACTGTATTTCTGATCAATTTGATGTTATTTTAATGGACAAAAAAATTGCTTTTCTTTCGAAAACAAGGACATTTCTATGTGACCCCAAACTTTTGAACGGTAGTATACAGTTGAAGTCGGAAGTTTAGCCAAATACATTTAATTTTAGTAATATTAGTAAAAATTCCCTGTCTTAGGTCAGTTAGGATCATCACTTTATTTTATGAATGTGAAATGTAAGAATAATAGTAGAGAGAATGATTTATTTCAGCTTTTATTTATTTCATCACATTCCCAGTGGGTCAGAAGTTTACATACACTCAATTAGTATTTGGTAGCATTGCCTTTAAATTGTTTAACTTGGGTCAAACGTTTCGGGTAGCCTTCCACAAGATTCCCACAATAAGTTGGGTGAATTTTGGCCCATTCCTCCTGACAGAGCTGGTGTAACTGAGTCAGTGTCACACTCTGGTTCTAGGACTTTTTGTGTTTAGTCAGGGTGTGTAGATTTCCGTGTGTTGTGTACTGTGGGTAGTGTCTAGGTGTTCGCGTTCTATGTTTGGTCAGTGACTCCCAATCGGAGGTAACGAGTGTCAGCTGTCGGCTCGTTATCTCTGATTGGGAGCCATATTTATATGTCTGTGTTCACCTTGTGGTTGTGGGTTTTTGTTCTATGTTCAGTCGGTGTACTGAGGACGTTACGGATCGTGTTTTGTTTTGTCGTTATTTCAACATTAAAGTCATCATGTTCACTCCCAACGCTGCGCTTTGGTCCTACTTTATTGGCGATCGTGACAGAAAAACCCACCACAACGAGACCAAGCAGCAGTTGGAATACGAGTGGTGGAGCCAGAAGAGCGAAGGTTGGGAGAGGACTATGGAGGCCTGGTCCACCGAGAGGAGAGACCCCCAGAAAATTTTTAGGGGGGGGCTCACGACGTCGGGGCAGAAGGTGTACGGCCCGGAGGAGTGCAAGAGGTTGGCAGATATGGCCGCCAGTTTAAGGGGGCCACTGGTTACGAAGGGGATGGAAAGTGTGGAGGCACGGCGAGAGGTACTGGGGGGTGTTTCCAGTCCGGTCCGGCCCGTTCCTGATCCCCGTGTAGGGCCAGGGGTGTGTGTCCCCAGTGCGGTTCTGTCTGTCCCTGCTCAACGCACCAAGCCTACGGGGTGCGTCGCCAGCCCAGCTCGGCCTGTTCCTGCGCCCCGCACCAAGTCTGTGGTGTGTTTCGCCAGCCCAGCCCGGCCTGTCCCTGCTCAACGCACCGAGCCTACGGGGTGCGTCGTCAACCCTGTCCAGCCAGAGCCGTCCGCCAGACAGGATCAGCCAGAGCCTTCCGCCAGACAGGATCAGCCAGAGCCTTCCGCCAGCCATGAGCAGCCAGATCCTTCCGCCAGCCATGAGCAGCCAGATCCGTCAGCCAGCCATGAGCAGCCAGATCCGTCAGCCATCCATGAGCAGCCAGATCCGTCAGCCAGCCATGAGCAGCCAGATCCGTCAGCCAGCCATGAGCCGTCCAGCCAGGATCCGCCAGAGCCTTCCAGCCAGGATCCGCCAGAGCCGTCCAGCCAGGATCCGCCAGAGCCGTCCAGCCGGGATCCGCCAGAGCCGTCCAGCCGGGATCCGCCAGAGCCGTCCAGCCGGGATCCGCCAGAGCCTTCCAGCCGGGATCCGCCAGAGCCTTCCAGCCGGGATCCGCCAGAGCCGTCCAGCCGGGATCCGCCAGAGCCGTCCAGCCGGGATCCGCCAGAGCCGTCCAGCCGGGATCCGCCAGAGCCGTCCAGCCAGGATCCGCCAGAGCCGTCCAGCCAGGATCCGCCAGAGCCGTCCAGCCGGGATCCGCCAGAGCCGGAGCCGCCGCCGAGGAGGAATGCCCACCCAGCCCGTCAGGTTTGTAGGCCTCCTTGCTCGCACATTTTCTATAGGATTGAGGTCAGGGCTTTGTGATGGCCACTGAAATACCTTGACTTTGTTGTCCTTAAGCCATTTTGCCACAACTTTGGAAGTATGCTTGGGGTCATTGTCCATTTGGAAGACCCATTTGCGACCAACCTTTAACTTCCTGACTGATGTCTTGAGATGTTGCTTCAATATATCCAAATAATTTTCCTTCCTCATGATGCCATCTATTTTGTGAAGTGCACCAGTCCCTCCTGCAGCAAAGCACCCCCACAGCATGATGCTGCCACCCCCGTGCTTCACGGTTGGGATGGTGTTCTTCGGCTTGCAAACATCCCCCTTTTTCCTCCAAACATAACGATGGTCATTATGGCCAAACAGTTCTTATTTTGTTTCATCAGACCAGAGGACATTTCTCCAAAAAGTACGATCTTTGTGCCCATGTGCAGTTGCAAACCGGAGTCTGGCTTTTTTATGGCGGTTTTGTAGCAGTGGCTTCTTCCTTGCTGAGCGGCCTTTCGGGTTATGTCGATATAGGACTAGTTTTACTGTGGATTTAGATACTTTTGTACCTGTTTCCTCCAGCATCTTCACAAGGTCCTTTGCTGTTGTTCTGGGATTGATTTGCACTTTTCGCACCAAAGTACGTTCATCTCTAGGAGACAGAACGCATCTCCTTCCTGAGCTGTATGACGGCTGCGTGGTCCCATGGTGTTTATACTTGCATACTATTGTTTGTACAGATGAACATGGTACCTTCAGGCGTTTGGAAATTGCTCCCAAGGATGAATCAGGTCTTGGCTGATTTATTTTGATTTTCCCATGATGTCAAGCAAAGAGGCACTGAGGTTGAAGGTAGGCCTTGAAATACAGCCACAGGTACATCTCCAATTGACTCAAATTATGTCAATTAGCCTATCAGAAGCTTCTAAAGCCATGACATAATTTTCTGGAATTTTCTAAGCTGTTTAAAGGCACAGTCAACTTTGTGTATGTAAACTTCTGACCCATTGGAATTGTGAATTATAAGTGAAATAATCTGTCTGTAAACAATTGTTGGAAAAATTAGTTGTGTCAT